TCTTTTCTTTTCTTTTCTTTTCTTTTCTTTTCTTTTCTTTTCTTTTCAAAAAAGACTTCCAATTATTTCTTAATATTTTAGCTCACAGTGTAACATCTTATGCATCTCCTTACAAGCAGCAGCTTCGCCCAAAATGCTGTGAACTTTGGGACAGTAATAACTAAAAAAAAAAAAAAAAAAAAAAATTGGAGTGAAAAACCCACGATCACAGGTTCCTGAAAAGTATTGCTTGGTATGAAACAAATCCCAAAATAAAACAAATATAAACTGTATTAGCAAGACCATCCCAGAGAAAAATAGCATTTCTTTGACAGCGTCAGGGAGTGCTTGCAACACTCCCTCAGCTCCACAAAAGAGAGGAAGTTTGGAATTCAGGCTGGTTCCAGGGGTCTGATCTCTCATATTCAGTGTGCATTGCTTTTTATTAATATGTCCAGGGAGTCAAGAGAACAGGTTCCCAGCATGTGCCTCCTCAGCATTTCTCTGCCGTTTCTAGCTGGGGCTGTAAAGAACTGCTGGGGCAGGCATTAAATTCTTGGGGGGAGGGAGTTATTTGGTGGCAATTCTGCTTAGATCATTTATTTTCTGTATCTCTCATTTCTGCCTCTTTTTATCTAGTGATTGATTGATTGCTCCGTACAATGACCAGATGCCACCAGTATGCTGGGTTTCACAAAGTAAGAAAATGGTTTTCCCTCTGAAATTACCTACAATTAAATCCAGATACGAGGGATAGCATCCTGAAGCCCAGCCAGGCTAAAGGACAGCTGCAAGTGTCCACCAAACTTCATTTTAGGATGTTCGTAAAGACAGCATTTTTTTGCAGACCAAATGCTAAAACAAACAAAAAAAATCCACTGTGTTAAACAATAGCCTCTCAAAGAGCAGCAAGTTGCTCTGCATTTATTCTGAACCCGAAGGCCGACCATCCATGCAACAATCTAACCTCTTGCCACTCTTCCCTCCCCGCTCCCTGCTCCTGCTGACCTTAAAGGTCTTTTCCTGCTCCTAGAGGCTTATCTTGCACCAAATCTGGCACTTCTCAGTCCTCCCCATAAGCCAATTTAACCCACTAATCTGACAGGAAACAAACTCAGTTAAAGAAAAAAAAAAAAGGAAAAAAAAAAGAAAAAGGTGAGGGGGAGGAGTAAGAGGAAAAGGAAATGGGGATAGATTTCTGTTTTTCCAGTGAGCTAAATCTGTTCACAGAATGGTTCAATGAGCTCCAGGGCGCACACAGTGGACACTGCAGCTACTGAAATTAGGATGTGCAACTTAGTATTTAATGTTAAAAGAAAACCAAAAACATCAAACAACTGAAAACCCCAAAACAACCACCACAAAACAAACAAACAAACAACCCACGTTACTAGCTACAGTACCTCATTTGCAGTTTGATTACAAAAAATATTGCTAACTTTACTTGAAAAATAAAGCTATTAAGATTTTCTGGCATTTCTCAAAGACTTGCACTTCAGGTGGCAGTCAGTGAAAAGCCACCTATGCAACACACAGATGACAGTTACTAGGCAGGGGAAGCAATTTCATGCAACTTT